GGTTTGTGCAGTGCATATCTTCCAGGATGTGCACTCACATTTGAAGATTTGGAGTTAGGAGCTTTAAATGAGGGGTAATATGTGATGTTTGTGTTTCTGAGTCTGAGTTACCTCACTCAATGTGGTTTTTTTGAGTTACCTCCTAATTTCATGATTTCATTTTCTGAATAGTACTCCATGGTAAATGGATGGAACTAATATCTCTATTGCTCCCTGCCACATATTTATTATCCATTCAGTAGTTGAAAGACATTTAAGTTAGATTTTGATAGCTATACATGTGACAAAGGATTCATATCAATAATATAAAAGAACTCAAAGAACAAAGACTAAAAAGAAAACAAATGACCCGTTCAAAAAATGGGCCTGAGATCTAAACAGAGAGTTCTCAAAAGAAGCAGGGAAAGGCTAAGAAATATCTCAAAAATGTTCATTCCTAGTAGTTAGAGAAATTAAAATTAAAACAACTTTGAGATTTCATCTTACCCCAATCAGCTACTCCGTAAGTATACATTGTTTGGAGATTAAGAGACACAAGTATTACTGTATCTACTAATCAATTAGTGGTTGCAGGTCTGAAGAGAAGATAAAAAAGCAAGAAATCGTGGTGAGATTAGTGGTTTATATTAGGATTCCAGCTAGGAATTAGAAGAGGGGACTAACCAGGTAGAGTGGAGAGAGGGTCAGAGTTTTGGCTTAAGGTATACCGAAAAGAGAGGTATAAATATGCATTCAGATCATGTAGAACAGTCTCATTGCTTGTGGGGGGTGGGTTGAGTCACAGAGACCTTGTATATCGAAGCAGCCTAGGTAAGTTTGGGGAAAAGGGAAAGTGAAAAAGAAAAGGGACAGTAGGGGACCAGGTGACAGATATGTGTACTGACTGGTTAGTATGCTAGTAAGAAGCAGCTGCAGAGGAGAAGTGGCGCTGGGAGGAATCTAGCTTTTGTCATATGGTTGTTTCAAAGAAATGGACCCCAGAGGGAGTGGCATTATTAGGAGGTGTGCCTTTGTTGGAGGAAGTGTGTTACTGTGGAAACAGGCTTTGAGGCCTCATATATGCTCAAGGCACTTCCAGTGTCGCAGTCCACTTCCTGATACCTGTGAATCAAGTGTAAGAACTCTCAACTCCTCCAGCACCATGCCTGCTTACATGCTGCCTTGCTTCCTGCCATGCTGAGAATGGACTGAACCTTTGAACCATAAGCCAGCCCCAATTAAAAAATGTTTTCCTTTATAAAAGTCGCTGTGGTCATGGTGTCCCTTCACAACAGTAGAAACCCTAAGACAGGTCGGGAGTCCTATTTTAAAATTTATTTCATCTCATTAATGTGTATGAGTGTTTTGCCGGCATGTCTCACTGTGCACCGTGGGTGTGCCTCATCCCCACACAGGCCAGAAGACAGTGTCTGATGCCCTGGAACTCGAGTTTTAGATGTCTCTGGCTACCATGTGGGTGCTGGGAATCTGTCTTGGACATGACTTACCCCATAAAGAGACAGAAAGGTGTCTTTTCCTAATGCATGGTTTATTGTTCTTACATAAACATGGGGAACAACTCACAGTGAACAAATCTAACAACCTAACATTCTGGCTCTAAGTGATGCCACTGATGTCCTGAGGCAGGATCCACTCATGGATAGTGGGGAGAGGTAACACAAGCAGATTGCAAGTTCAGTAGCCTAGTGCACAGCAAACTACCATGTCCTCATCTGCTGATAGGGAAGGACAGTGACTGGGTGCTGGCTCTGCAGCTGATGCTCCTTGAGAAATTGAGAACAATGGAAGCTAGATGGTCACCTGATTAGCCAGGTCAAACAGGGTGCTGGATTCTCAGCGGTCACCAAAGTCAGAAACAGGAGATCTTGGTGAAGACATGGTCACCAGAAGTATCCCTTTTTGGTAGTATACACAGTTCATGTGCATTGAGGTGCATTGACTAGCAGCTGCGGAGCTGACTGGAGTCTGGATTTTTATGGTCCTTCTGAACCTTATATAGGCCTTGCAGACTTTTGGCCCTTGCTCATGATTGGCAAGGGCTGCCTAACTCCAAGGCATTGGTCATTATGCCCAAGTGCTTGCTTCTGCTCTCAGCATGCTCTGATGTCAGGACGTTGAGCAGTAGTGCCTCTATCTTGTGAACCATTCCATTTTGTTTTCTTGTCTTCTGTTCTACAAACTCATTACAGATTTGACCCTGGGTCCTTTGGAAGAGATCAAGTGATCTTAGTCACCAAGCGGTCTCTCCAGTGGGGTGAGAGTCTTGGTCTGCTCACCTCATAGGGCTCATTGGGGTAGGGACTGACCAGCAGTGGGCACTAGGTCTTATCATCCTCCTTCACCTTAGGGCACAACCAAGCAGTGGGTCTAAGTCTTTGCACATTCCCTGACCTAAGAGCATGACCAGCAGTTGAGTTCTAAGTCTTGCTTCCATTCCTGACCTGTTCACCGCTTTTCTATGGAACTAGAAGAGAATTAGGACTGTTGCCCCTATTCACAACTTGAAAGTCCATCTTAAAATTGAGCTGATATTCTGTAGTGTATTCTGCACACGAAGTATTGTACAAAACCCTAGGGATACTGTATTACAGCCAGAGCTCTGTCTGTACAGTTTTCCACTGGAGACCAGTCCTTTATCAAGTCCACAGCCAGATCCCTCAACCTGTTTGGCCCTTCAGGCTCTCATCTGAATCCTTATTTGATGTCTTAGACTACTGCCACATAACACATCATCCCAACATGTAGCAGCTCTGCAGCGTGCATATCTGTGTCACACAGCAGAACCTCTGTGAAGCTGCAGGCTGGCACCAGGGGGCTGTTACCATCATAAAGCTTTCCTGGGAAAAGCTCTGCTCCCAAGCTCTCATGCTGTGGGTAGGATTCAGCTCTCCAAAGCCAACTGGCAGAGAGCCTCGATTTCCCATTGATCTTGGCCAGGGCATTCTTAATTCTTTGCTCCATAGGTCCTATTTCACCCTTTAAGTATGCAAAACAAGAAAGCTCCTGAGTCTGATGGCAAGATGTAAGCCACAGTCCTTGGCAACCCAATCAGTGAGTGACACTGCACCGCTGTCATTTTATTTCATTGTTTAGGTCATGTGGCTGACCCACATGACCTCCCCAGGGAGAGGATTAGACAGGAGTTTGATTTTTCAGGAGGTAGAGACCTTTGGAGCCACCTGAAAAGTGTCTCTCCCATATTTGGTATCAGTTATTATGTCATTTTCAGTCATCTTGTCAGCAAAGAGCAGGGGCCTCAAAACCTAAGGGTGTCTTCTGCCTCCGACCTCATCAGCCTCTTCCAGGTCCTAGGTTGTTGCCCTACCTTGTGGCTGTGAGAAAATACCTAGAGGTCCCAAAGTGACTGGTGGAGAATGAAGCCAGAGTGTGTGTGAGCCAGCCCAGAGGCAGAGCGGTGCTTTCTCCCAAGAATACAGGGTGAAGGGGCACTGTAGACATTTTAAAAGGGAGGTTTTGTCTGGAAGGACAAGCATATCCATGGCATGCTCTTAGGCTGAATTTATTTTCAATCTCAAGGGGCTGCCAGTGTCCAAAGAATCTTCTGTAAAGACTCATGAGTTGTGGCTAAGTATTCAGTCTCTGTGCTGGTGGTCTCCTTTGACCATGGGAACGGAAGTGCCTGCTCTACTACCCAGGAGCCTTCATCCCTGCTCAGCCCCACTTGGGCCTCTAGTTGACCCGGTGTATTGCATGAATATTGTATCTCTCTGGGCCAAGATGCAGGGATGATTGGGGAGCATGGAGTGCAGGGGAGCCCTGGGGTTGGCAGAGGCCTGCAGGGTGGGTGGTCTACAGGGCGAGCTGGCCTCGAGGGCCGCTGTCGTCCCCAGCACTGTGCTCTCACCTTCCGGTGTGGTGTGCAGTTCCTGTTCCTTATGCTCCCTTCTTGCTGCCAGCGAAGTTTTCCATCACAGATGCGATCCATAATTGATGCAGCCTGGAGAAGGGCGATGAATAATTAAGTAGGTTTCAGGTGCAGAATGAACATTAAAGGCATGAAAGGAAGAATGAAAGCAAAACAGCCAGGGCAAGAGGTTCAAGTTCCATCATGCCAAAAGGATGTTGTGTGTAGATGTTTCCTACACCACAGAAGGCTTGGGTTTTGATTTTGAGTCTTCTGCTGTCTGATAACTCAATTCATGTGTTAGCTGTTCATCTCTGGCTAATACCTCAGAAGGTGGTAAGCTTTCCATGGCAGCAGTGACTCCCCTAGCTTTGTTCTGAAGGCTTCAAGACCAAAGTAGCTTCAAGAGTGGTCAACGGAAGGTGGCTTTACCAAAAGCCAGAGAGAGTTGACTGGCAGGGAATATTAGTGTGGACACTTCATAATCAACACCCAATGATTTCTCCCTTTAAAAGAAATATCGGGGTGGGGGGAGAAGAGTGTGGGTAAGTGTCTAGCACAGTCATTTAGGAATACCCTAATCACAGTCCTGCAAAAGGCTTTCCTTCTTGAATGCTAGCTAACAGCCACAGGAATTGCAGGCCACTGACTGAGGCTGTGGTGGGTACATTCTGATTTCCAGCAGAACTTGCAGACACCCAAGCATGGTGATGAGAAAGATGGGCAAGTTCAGCGATGCGGTCTCTGTGATCCTGCCTCCCACGGGCTGCAGAGCTTGACCACATGTAGGAAACCACAAGTGCGAATGACAGGTTTTCTACCTGTGGGTTGTTTCAGATCCTTTGTGTTTTGTTCTACCATTTAGCCCTGTCCACAGTTGACTAGACAGTCTGACAGATGATTTGGTGAGTAGGAAGCTGATGCTCCTGTGAGCGTAAGGGACTTTGTGTCCCAGATCCCCCTGACGCCCTGGCTCCATCAGTCAGTAAGAGGATAAGAAACTCGGGAGGCTCCCATCTTCTGCGAGCACCCACTACCGCAGCCTCCCTGTGCTCTCTGCAGTTCAGTTAAGCCCAGCTGTGTGGGCTCCTTACTCCTGTTGGCTCTGGCCCAGCAGGTATGGTTGTTTTCTGAGACCGGGTTGGAATCATTGGTTTTGGTCAGAGCCCTTCTCACTTGCAGCACAAGGGGAGGTTGTTATAACACAGTGACAGAGAGTGCAGTTAGTTGGGTGGAGAGAGTGGGTTCCATGTGCTGCTGGGGCCCAGCCAGCAGCTGAGTGGAGTTCCCCAATCTCTCCGCACACCCAGGTGCATCCCAATCGAGACCTGAGAGAAGATTTTCAGTCACCCCTCCCCCTCCTCTACCAGAGCCGCACCTTCTTCACAGGTTCTATAATCATAGCTGAGTTTGTGGTGTGTGAAAGTTTCTGGTAGCACCTCTGGGCTGAGTTTACTTCCCCCAGAAATAGTAGGTGCCACTGACAACAAGGGTGGGCCAGATTCTCGTCAGAAATATCAGCTGACGATGCTGCACCAATGACTCAAGTCAGTCCTGGCCACCCAGCACTGAAGGGTTAATGTGGAGGGTCAGACACTCTGGAGGTGGTCACGTCTCCTATTACCAGTTGCATTATTGACAAGGGCACCTAACACCACTAAGACTATCCACCAAGTGGCACTGAGATCAGGATTTCTACTCGGCTCACAAGTGGAGGCTCTGGAGCTCACCCTGTTGCCCAGACAGCACTTGGGAGGATGGAGAACTTTTGGATGTACCCGTTTGAAAGTCATGAAGAAGAGGTATGTGTCCCATGGCTACACCGGGGTTTGTTGCCTGGCTTCAGTCCTCCGTTCCTGGCCCAGTAAGACAGTTAGGTAGCTGCACTCTGCATTTCCCTCTATAAGTAGGGAATAGGTGGGAAGAGAGCATTACCCCAGATGGAGGGAAATGAGCTTGGAAGTGAATGTGGCTCAGACAGCAGAGACCATTTTGCACTGAGCCAGGACCTGGGAAAGGTGTGATTGTTGCTGTGTCTCCCTGGTGAGTGCTGCTTTTGAGTCTCTGTGTTCTGATGAATGAGTTCCTCTGGACACTTCATTCCCCCATTCTAGGCTGTGGCATCTTTCACTGCTGAGGGCTGACACATATCAATGGCTATTAGTGCCTTGGGCACAAATAACTGCCTGGCTGGAAAATGAGAAATGTGCCCCTGCATGGTGCTGGGCACACAGTAAGTCCTTTAAAAATGGTGGCTGTTGCTATTTCTAGCAGATGTTGTGCTATTATAAATTGCAAGCATAGCCGTATCTCCTCCTTTGTCTACTATGGTTTAAGACAGGGAGTTTCTAAACAGTTCAGGCCAGCTTTGAACTCACCATGTAGTCCAGGGAATTCTCAAACCATTGTCCTTCCTGTCTCAGCTTCTCAAGTGCCAAGATTACAGATGTGTGCCACCACACCTGGCTTGGTTACATTCAGCTCAGTTGCTTTTCTTAATATAAGTTAGAAGTGCCTGGCCTTTGTTCCCAGAGCCTAGGCAAGTGACTGGAAAGGCATGAGGGGTCCATCAAGGAATGAAGAGACTGGAAAGGGAAGTGAACAAAGGGCTTCCTCATTTGCCCAGTTAAGTGCATTTCAAATACATCAAGAGAGGCTATTTGGTGCTAGATACCCTGTCCATAAATACATCTTTACTAGGTGATGGGTTGGTTTACCCTTGCATTGATGGTTGCTTTATAATTAACTGGTTAATTGTTTGCCTTGAGAACATGGCCTCAGAAGCTTAGAGCTCTTGTGATGGTAGCCAAAAAGGGGGGGGATTTTGTGTTGCTCCCATGAAATCATCCCTTGAGCTAAGCACTGCCAAGCATGGCTTCCTGGGGTCCTGGCAGCTTCCATGCAGGTTTATGAGCTTAGGGACAGGAGCTAAAGGACGATGTTGGTGGGAAAAGAGAGAACAGAAATGGTTGGAGTAGGTTAACTCCCAGTTCTCTGCAAGTTTTCCACCAGTATTAATTGAATCCATTATGAATGTATATGTAAAACACTTCATTAAGCCCAAGCTATTATCATCTTAATGACATAATTATGCTCATTCAGTGCCTATACTGACTTCGCTACTTTGCCACATTAAGGAAATACAAATGTGCATTGATAATATTGTTTGAATTATACTATAGAGTGGATAATTACGCACTTCTTAATCAGCTTCAAATTTCAGAAGTGTGAACATGCATTAGGGAAACAAAAAAAAACCTCATCATATATTTGGGTTTTATCAAAATAATCCTAAAGTGGAATAAGGTTATTATAAAGTAACTCAGACAAGTAGAGAAACAGTGTGTACTGTTTGGGGGAAAGGAAATAAAGGCAGGTAAGCCAGTAAACTAAGCATAAGTGGGAGCACCATTTGGAAACACCGGGAGGCAGAAGCCCCCACAGTCTCAAAACAATGTAAGAACTTCGGCATGTGCCATGACCTTCCCCATGTACCTACACCTTTGAAATCCCATGTAGAACAGCAGTCAAAGCAGAATGTTGTTCATTCTGGAAAAGATTGCATGACCAAGTGCTCAATTACAGTGTATGTAAAAGCCACTTCCATGGGTACCGGTACCTACTGTGGTGTCCCCTACACTATCCTAACCTTGAGAGTGCATGATATGCAAGCAGGGTGACAGAGGGTCATCCAGAATGAGTGGAGAGCCATGGGTACTGATAGCCATGTGTGTGGTCAGAACTCAGAGGATCATCCAGAATGAGTGGGGAGCCTTGGGTACTGATAACCATGAGTGTGCTCAGAACTTACCCTAAGATATAAAACTCATTTTCAGTTGCCTTTTCAAGTGATACAAGATAAGTGTCTGTGTATTTTCTCTTCATCACACATATTGAAATCCTGTTGTATATTTTATGAGGGTCTTTGTCTTAGGTACTCAGAGAAGAAGCATATAAATTAATTATAAATCCTGCCTTTGTTGTACTTGTCCAAATACTATGCCAGAGTACTGTAGTTTTATAATGTACAAGGGAAAAAGTCCAGCAGTCCATGAATGGCAGAGATAAAATGCATGCAAGCCATTCGAGAGGGAATCCTCTTGCCTAAGAGGATTGGGAAGATTGCATAGGAGAGGTAGTATTTAGAGTGGGCCTTAGGAGGCTCTTGCAAATTTAGAGTCCAGGCGAAGGGCAGAATAAAGTCACTGAGCAGAAACGTGCAGGCCATAGGCTGGAAACAGGACAGGATTCTGTTGGGCTTAATGAAAAAGAATTAGAACAAAGTGGCAGGGCTGAGGGTAGCAAAGGAGTTAACAGCGAATGTCGGGTTGCCTGAAGTACTAAGATAGTCTTCTTGTAGTCTAGACCTATTCTCCGAGCAATAAGGTAGCTTAAAGGCTTGAATTGAAAGTGGTTTGCCCAGAGCTTTTTTTGAAAAGAGAAAATAGGTTCCTGGGGAAGAAGGCTTGTGAACTCTTAGTAGGTATATTGGCTCTTTAGTCATGGGGGGGGGTGTGACAGAAAGGAAACCCCAGATGTCTTTGGGAATTGTTCTCTATAGGTTAAACGAGTAAGTAACTCAGTCCCAGGTGGACTGGCCAAACTATGTAAGTTTTCAATATTTGCTTTCTCCCTGCCCTTCACTGAAGTGAATTTCTGTCGCTGAGTTTCTTTGAAGAGAGGCACCAGTATTCACTGGGACTGCAAGCTAGCTAGAGATAGCCTCCATCTTTCATAGGCGTCCTCACTCAGTGGCATACTGTGGTCACCTGTGCTGGCCTGGAATTAACAGGGGTAGGGGTAGGGGAGGTGGGCGTGTCTTTGTAGATCAATCACTCCAACAGTGTCACTTTCAACTTTCAGATCCTGCAGAGCTTTCTGGCATGGGAAGCAGCGGAAGTACTAGAAGTAATACACAGCAGTTGTAGATACCCGCCCCCTAGCTGTAGCCACTGATGAGCTGTTTTTACCAATATGCCATTAAAGTGTTGGAACTTACGAATTAATGTAGTCTTTGTGGTGTGGTTTTATAGTGCCTTCTGCTTGCTTTTTCCCTTTATCCATGAATGAATTTTTAATGAGGAAACAAAATCAGACCAAGAAAGCATCCATGGGTGTGCTGACCCTTTGAGCCTCTCTAAGAGAAAAAAAGTGAGATTGGAATTGTAAAAGAGTAAAAGATTGCTCATACTAGGTGAGTGCCCAGACAACCAGCTGCCCATCAGTGTGCACTCACACCAGGAGGGAAGACAGTTCTGACCCATCCCTAGAATGACAGGAAGCCTGGCTGGTGTGAAAATTCTCAGAGTATTGGTTTGAGGGAGTGCGATTTACTTTTTAAGAAGTCACTGAAGCATACAATCAAATAGCCTTCTCTATTCACGGTGACTTTGGTAGCATGAGCAGAAAGAGCTTTTAAATTATGGACAGTTCAGTGACAGCATTTTCTAAGGGCCTCCCTCAGTCATGTGACACCCCTGTTCTTTCAGGATACTGCTATTATTGTCATCATGCTTCCACATGTGGCTTTGTCTTAGTTTGATTTGTGCTAAAAGCAACATCACAGGCTGGGGATTTATAAAGTATAGTCTGTTTGCTTCATAGTTCTGGAGGTTAAGTCCTGAGCACAGTTCCCTCATCTGCCAAGGTCCTGTAGGCCATGTGAGAGCGTGGGGGAAGGCAAGCATGCGCAGAAAAAAAGGTGAACTCTACTCCGGTTTGATTTCTGTCTGTGATAAACACAATGATCAAAAGCATCGTGGAGGATAAAGCAGTTGTTTTATCATACACTTCCAGGCCACACTCCATCACTGAGGGAAGTCAGGGCCACAACAGGAACTGATGATAGGGTAATACTACTTGCTTAGATTAACTCGTAAGAGAAGGGACAAGAGTATGTCTTTGTAATCTTTTGGAAAGTTTACAATATTAAGTCTTCACCCCAGGCTGGTGTAAATCAGGTCAGACTCCATGTGTGTTTGCTGTTTTGTTTGGGATAAGGTCTAACCTGCAACCCTCACTGTCCTGGACCTTGCTGTTATAGAAACTGGCCCAGAACTCACAGAGAGCTGGCCTGCCTCTGCCTTCCATGTGCAGGAAGTACAAGCACCATACTCACCAAGTCCAACATTTTTTAAATAAAAGAGCCATCATGTAACAGAAAAGATTTTTTTAAGTTAAAGAAATCTATAAAACGGCTATGCTTTAGGGAGGCAATCTTTCCTTTAGCGGCTTCAATAAAACCCTTCCCTTCTTTCATGAGGTATTTTAAATCTTTAGGAGGGTTGCTATTGCTCTGAAGAGACACCATGACTACATCAACTCTGACAAAGAAAACATTTAATTGAGATAGCGGCTTACAATTTCAGGGGTCCAGTCCGTCATCATCATGTTGGGGAGCATGGTGCAAGATGTAGTGCTGGCTACATCTTGACCAGAAGACAGCAAGAAGTCTACTGACTGTCACATTGAGGGAAACTGAGCAAAAGAGACCTCAAAGCCCACCCCACAGTGACACACTTCTTCCAACAAGGCCACACCTCCTAATAGTCCTACTCTTTGGGGGATTGTTTCCTTTCAAACCACTGAAGAACAATCTTGATACTCTCCCTTGAAATGAAGTGTTACAGGGGCAAAGGAAATGGGCTTCAAGGGGAGAATTCTCTCCTCAATGGCCTTCAAGTCTGCTGACTTCTAACCAACTACCTAGAAAATCTTAACCCCCCTTTTTGTATTCTAAATGTTAGTGAAAAGTTTTTCATTCTAGATTTAAGTGAAAAGTGCAGAGGAGAATTTTAGGAGGAACCAATCATATTCTTTAATTTTACAAAGATTTTACGAAAAAAGTATTGTTAATTTTCCAAGCAAGAGACACTGAGTGTCTTGCATGAGGCTTTCTGTTAGATGGCACCATCTTCTTGGGATCATCAGTATCTTACTCTTGTATATTATTTATAAACTTTGTTGAGTTATTGTATTTGTGTTTCTTTATGGGTTGCATTATAGTGATTTAATACATATACACAGTGTAATCAAACTAGGGTAATAAGTTTTTGCATCTCTTCAGCCATTAATCATTAAGTATTGAGGACCTCATACTCACCTATGCATTATAGACCATGTTAACTCATAGTTATTTCTTATTCACCTAGTCTATGCATTCATTATAGGCTGTATTAACCCATAGTCACCTAGTCTATGCACTATAGATCATGTTAACCCATAGTTATCTAGCTCCAGAAGAGCCAGCAGTGATTTCCCCACTCTGTTTTGGTGTCCCTATTGAAAACTTGGTTACCTTTCTACCTGTCTGTCTCAGTCTCTTGTGGCCAGAGGTTCATTCTGTTCTTCTTGAGATTAACATCATTAATTTCCACAGATGAGTTAAGACGTGGTATTTGTCTGTTTTCCTTAACGCAGAGACCTCCAGTTCTGTCCATGTTACAACCATGTTCTTTTTAAGGCTCAACATTATCCCACTGTATAAACATACCACATTTTCCTTATTCACTGAAGAACATCTGATTTGATCCTGTGTTGGATGTGTATGTTTATAAATTTATGTTCTTGTAAAATGATCCTTTTATCAATATAGGATGACAATATTTGTCTTTTTCTTTTTTATGAGTTTTTTCTTTTTTCTTTACATTAGAAACAAGCTTATTTTACATGCCAATCCCAGTTCCCTCTCCCTCCTCTCCTCCCCTGCCTCCCACTGATTCCACATCCCATCTTCTGTTCCCCATGGAGGGTAAGGCCTTCCATGGGGGAATCTTCAAATTCGGTCTTATCATTTGGAGCAGGGCCTAGGCCCTCCCCCCCATGTGTCTGGGTTGAAAGGGTATCCCTCTATGTGGAATGGGCTCCCAAAGTCCATTTGTATACTAGGGATAAATACTGCTCCACTACCAGAGGCCTCATAGATGGCCCAGGCCTCCTAATTGACACCCACATTCAGGGAGTCTGGATTGGTCCTATACTGGTTTCCCAGCTATCAGTATGGGGTCCATGAACTCCCCCCTTGTTCAGGTCAGCTGTTTCTGTGAGTTTCTCCAGCCTGGTCTTGACCCCTTTGCTCATCACTCCTCCCTCTCTGCAACTGGATTCCAGGAGTTCATCTCAGTGTTTAGCTATGGGTATCTGCTTCTTCTTCCATCAGCCACTGGATGAAGGCTCTAGGATGGCATATAAGGTAGTCATCAATCTCATTATTGGGGAAGGGCATTTAAGGTATCCTCTCCACTGTTGCTTAAATTGTTATTTGGGGTCATCCTGTAGATCTCTGGACATTTCCCTAGTGCCAAATTTCTCTTTAAACCTATAATGGCTCCCTCTGTTGTGGTATCTCCTCTCTTGCTCTCCTCTATTCTTCCCTCGATTCCTGCTCCCTCATGTCCTCCTCTCCCCTCCTCTTCTCCCCTTCTCTTTCTCCCAACTTTCTCTCTCCTTCCTCCATGCTCCCAATTAGCTCAGGAGATCTTGTCCCTATCCCCTTCTCTGGGGGACCATGTATGTCTCTCTTGGGGTCCTCTTTGTTTCCTAGCTTCTCTGGTGGTATGGATTTTAGCCTGGTACTCCTTTGCTCTATGTCTAAAATCCATATATGAGTGAGTACATACCATGTTTGTCTTTTTGTAACTAGGTTTCCTCACTCAGGATGGTTTCTTCTAGTTCCATCCATTTGCCTGCAAATTTCAAGATTCCATTGCTTTTTTTTTTTTTACACTGAGTAGTACTCCATTGTGTAAATATACCACATTTTCTTTATCCATTCTTCAGCTGAGTGGCATCTAGGTTGCTTCCAGGTTCTGGCTATTACAAATAATGCTGCTATGAACATAGTTGAACAGATGTACTTGTTGTATGAATGAGCATCTTTTGGGTATATACCTAAGAGTGGAATTGCTGGATCTTGTGGTAGACTCATGCCCATTTTCCTGAGGAATCTCCATACTGATTTCCAAAGTGGCTGTACGAGTCTGCACTCCCACTAGCAATAGAGGAGTTTTTCCCTTTCTCCACATCCTCTCCAGCATAGACTGTCATTAGTGTTGTTTTATTTTAGCCATTATGACAGGAGCAAGATGGTATCTCAGAGTTGTTTTGATTTGCATTTCCCTGATGGCTAAGGATGTTGAGCACTTTCTTATGTGTCTTTCAGCCACTTTAAATTCCTCTATTTAGTTCTGTACCCCACTTTTTAAATGGATTATTTGGTGTTTAGGTGACTAGCCTCTTGAGTTCTTTGTATATTTCAGAAATCAGCCCTCTGTCAGATGTGGCGTGGTGAATATCTTTTCCCATTCTGTGGGCTGCTGTTTTGTCTTAACTGAGTGTGTCCTTTGCCTTACAGAAGCTTCTCAGTGTCAGGAGGTCCCATTTATTAATTGTGGATCTCAGTGTTTGTACTATTGGTGTTATGTTCAGGAAGTGGTCTCCTGTACCAATTTGTTCAAGGGTACCTCCCACTTTCTCTTCTAAGAGGTTCAGTATGGCTGGATTTATGTTGAGGTCTTTGATCCGTTTGGACTTAAGATTTGTGCATGGCGATTGACATGGATCTATCTGCAGTCTTGTACATGCTAGCATCCAGTTATGCCAGCACTGTTTGTTGAAGATACTTTCTTTTTTCCATTGTATAATTTTAGATTCTTTGTCAAAAACCAAGTGTTCATAGGTATGTGGATTAATATCAGCATTATCAATCTGATTCCATTGGTCTACCTATTTTTCAATATTTGTCTCTTTTCTGCATTTTCATTTAAATTCTGCTTCATCAAATACCACTATAGTTATTCCTGTCTGGTCATGTTTTCTCGTGTGTGATGTATTATTTTCTAAGAGTACACTTTGAGTTTTGTGATTCTTCACTGGGGAAGTGACTTTAGAAAGTATATAGCCTTTCTTTTTAACCCATTCATGCAGTCTGTTTTGATTGGTAAATGTAATCCATTGATACTCAAGGTTGTTTCTAAGAAGCACGAACTTCCCATCATTTTCTTA